CAGGAGAGAATAGTCCATGTAGAAGGACATCAAAGTGCAACACCATCAAAACAGAGAAAGATCCTCAACAAGACATCCATACAGTGGCTGCAACAATGAGCTAAGCATAAGAATGTTGAAGAAAGCACAGCACTGGGTAGTGTTTTGTTCTGTTTTACATAGGGTCACTGTGAATTGGAACTGACTTGATATCACTTAACAGCAACAACAATCAGAAGGAAAAACTTACAATTGATAAATATTTCAAGAGATGTTCGAAGAAATTTTTGCTTACTTCAAGCCAAAACAGAAAATAACCATAAAAGTAGCCAAACAAACCCCAAATAGAAATGATGCTCAAAGAAAAGCACAACTGTCTATCATAGACAAACTTTCTAACCCCAAGGAGAATGAAAGAATCCTGAGAACAATTTGTAGAAAAGAAAAAAGAAAGATTATACCTTTAAGGTGAACCAAGAAGAACAAAATTGCATTTTATAATAGGAACCTTGCGAGCAAGAAAGAATGGAACAACATATACAAAACCTTGAAGTAAAAGGGAATTGCCAACTAAGAAGTTTATAAAAACAAGACCAAATTTATAAAAATAAGTCCAAATTTACAAAAAGTCCTAAAGGTGTTCTTTGGACAAAGAATCAACTACAGACAGCAACTAAAGGTGAACATATGAACAGCACCATTGAGGGGGGGGGGAACCACCACTCAAATAATACACAAAACCAAATTTATAAGATTGAAAATAGGGAACTAGAAGTAACATCCTACAATGAATAAAACAATACAGTAGTAGAAGATATAATACACTTAAATAGAGAAGACGTTGCATAGTTCAAAAGAGAAAAAAACCTGCCTTAAACTCGGAAAAAAATAAAAACAAATAAACCTCAAAGAAAATGGTAAAACTTCAATTCAATTAAAATGAGGATGTGATAGTTAAGTCTTGGGGGCCAACATGGCACCTGTGAGAAGATGTGGGTGGAGTCTATCTAACCTGCCAAACAAGTCACAGCTAGATGGTGCCTCTTGTGGGTGTGGCCTGAATCCTGAGACATCCTCTCTCTTTCTGTCTTCACCTTCCTGCTATCAAGCCACTCAGGGAGCTGCCAAAACCACTGCCATTGGATCCTTGGGCCATTGCATCCACTGGCTGGTGATGCTCCTGCATTCTGCATCATTGTGTGATGCTTCATGAGTCTGAAGAGGGATTTATGGACTAGTATCAGACTTATGGACTTGATCTGGACTGAGATGGGATGTTTGATATATAATTTTTCCTTGATATAAAGCTCTTTCTTATACATATATGAGTGTCTCTGGATTTGTTTATCTAATCAACCCATCCTAACACAGAGGAAGACCAGAAAGCCTTCTAAATTGTAAACTAAAACCCCCCTAAAAGGAAAGAAAAAAGACAAAATAACCCACTAATAGAAATTTGTGAACAAAGAAAACAATAACACCGTTTAAACTGCAGCAATAAAGTCATATCTATAAATAACAACATTGAAAGTAAATGGATTAAACTCACCATTTAAGAGACAGTGACTAGTAGAATGGATAGGAAAGCTGGCATCACTAATATGCTGCTTAAAAGAAACACATCTTCAACACAAAGACAAAAAAAAGTGAAAATCAGAGGATGGGAAAACAAAACAAAACTATGTGTTCCATTGCTAATTGAAGTCAGCAGTTCAAAACTACCAGTCGCTCCACAGGAAAAAGATGAGGCTTTCTACTGCCGTAAAGGGTTAGTTTCAGAAACCCACAAGGGCAGTTCTACCCTGCCTTACAAGGTCACTATGAGTCAGAATTGAAGTGATGGCAGTGAGTTCAGTTAAAAAGCAGTTTTTAAAAATGCAGGACTAACAACATTAATTTCTGACAAAATTGACGTCAAAGTAAAAGCCATCACACGAAAATGCCATTATATAATGATAAAAGCCACAACTGAACATGAATATATAACCAAAATAGAAATCTATGTACTCAAGGAAAGATTCTCAAAGTACATTAACCCCACTCTTATAGAGGTGAAGGGACAAATAGAAAGCTTTGCAATAATATTAGGAGACTTTAAGACACCCCTTTTGAGGGTGTCTTAAAGAGACAGATCAAATGGGATAGAAACGAACAAAGGTACAGAAGAACTAAACACCACAATCAACCAGCTTGATTTCTCAGACATATATCTAAAACATTTCACCACCAACAACACAATATACATTCTTTTACAGGGTACATGGAACATAATCTAGAATAAATTATGTTAGTCCACAAAGTAAGTTTAGCATCAATAAATTTAAAAATATTGAGATACTACAAACTATCTTTTCAGATCCCAATCCAATAAAATTACAAACCAATAATACAAACAGAAAGCAAAAAAATCAAATACATTGGAATTGAAAAACATTTATTTTAAAACCACTGTGTAATTGAATAAATACAAATACTGTATGAGACTATTCCTTAAAAAAAAATCAAAAGAAGTGATTTTCACTCCAAAAGAAGCAGGTTTTAATAGTTACAAGGGGACTGTGGTGGAGGGAGAAATGAAAGAGGAGTAGAAAATAAATTAATCAGTTAAAAGTAAAAGAAGCAGCAATTCATGTTTTTACAGAAAAAGTCTACCGAACTATCAAATAGCAAGCTTAATTCTGCTTAAACTCTTTGAGAACATTGAAAAATAAGACATTTGCATTTTAATGATATTTCATGATATTATATAAACCTGGTAGAATTGCACAAAAGATGAAAACTAAAAAGCAAGCTCACTTTTAAGTCTCAGGGCAAAAATAAAATAAATAAATAAACGTATGTCTAAATTAAATGGTGTTTAGATAGAATTCAAGAATGGCTCGATATTAGAAGAATCAATGTATTTTTTCATATTAATATACCTTGGGGAAACAACAAAACAAAATATACAGGAAATCTAGACAACTCCTCCACAGAAGTGAATGACAAAAACACTAGTTTTATTATTAAGCAAACAGTAAGTCAAAATATGATGCATACTGCAGGCAATATGCTAACAATTTTACAAAAGCTGAAAGAAACATCACCTTTTTAGTACACTAAACAGATACAATCCAACACGTCTTAAGGTACATAATAAATAGTCCTCAAGTAAGTTAAATTTTCTACACCATTTGTCATTCATAGTTCATTTTAAATTCACCTGATAATTGGGTGATATTTATAATTGCTGGTTATCTTATCCAAAGTAGTAATAGAATTTTCTCAAGTTTCTCTGACAGCTATATTTTGGAGCTAGATGAATAAATTAAAGTTCCAAAGATATTCAGAGGTAAGGAGGCTGTTTCCCATGGTGTCTACAGTTTTAAAAGAGAGCTCCCAGGAAAAGTAACCAAATCCCCAAGGAATCCTGAACATAGACACAGGGTGTGGCACCTCATCAGACTTGATTGGAAAGGGTCGGCAGACAGATCTGGAACTATTAGTGCTTTTTTCCCTCTCTTGTTCCAGCTTGTTTTGTTTGTTTTGTTATGGTTTTTTTTAATTTCTTTTTCTTTCACTGTGTGTCTATCTATACAAAATAGACAGGACAAAAAATTCTGAGGAGAAAAATATGAGACTAGTGGTTCCAGGGGAACATGGGAGAAGAGGGGTGAGGGAGGGGGAGTAGGGAACCAACAAACTCAGAGATAAGGACAACAAGATAAGAACAACAAGAGATCTAAAATTGATGGTGAGGAGGGTGTATAATGCCAGGGGGATTGGGGGAGGGCTTGATCAAGAGCAATATATCGGAGAGGAAATGCTGAAAGCCAAATGGAGGGTGACCATGATAGTGGGATAGGAGGAAGGTGAAAGGAAATAGAGGAAATAAATAGGAGGAAAATGCTATTTATGGAGGTATAGCTATAGGCATGTATATATGTAAGTATATTAATTTATAATGAAAGGAATAGAGGCCAATGTACATCTATTTATATGCTAAGTATTAAGATAGCAGACAGACTTTGGGCCTCCACTCAAGGTCTCCCTTAACACAAGAACACTTTGTCCTGATAACCTGGCAGTCTTTGAATTTTACCTTCCTG